TTCCTGATGAAGTTGCCTCTTATCTCTCATTTCTACTACCAGACACAGGAATCTTTTGTGTAATTCCAACTTTTGCAGGCAAGCAAGTAGGCTGATAGAGAAGTTGGCGTCTTAGTAAGAAGGAAAAATCTGTAATGAGAATGGGAAATTGGTAGTGGCACTGCAGATAAGAGAGAAGGATGCTGAAAGCATGAAAAGCAAATACACAGTGGCACAAACACAAAAGGACAAAGGGAGAGTATCAGATGAATAGGTAATAGGATGGATGCTTTTCCACAACTAATTAAAAACCTGTTCAGTGCATGCTGCCTTCCTGAACTCATTTACTGATTTGAATCATTGGGGAGTGGAAAACCCTCTTCATTTTCAGCATGACTGTCAAGCTTCTGCACAGTGGAAAAAAAAATACTTGCTCCATCCGACTTCTGACAGCATAAGAGCAGGAAGTTGGTAGGAAACAATTCTAATAGGTGTTTTAGAAGAAAAGTGATACATTAAAGGACAAAAATCTTACATGACAGATGCAGAAGAGGAAAATTGCCAGGGTGATTCTAAAGGTTTGGACAGCAGATAAACTCTTGGACTTTCTGCCAAATGAGAGCCAGATTTGGTGTGAAATTAAAAGTCTAACAATGAGCTGCTAGCACAGACCACAAGTGCTTTCTTTCCTTATATAGCAATGTGCTGCTGAAGCCATTACTGTGCACTCCATATCAGTGTCTGAATTATGGCTCTTGGTACAGCCACAGCTGCAGTTTTTTATTTAGTTTTATTACCATGGATGTGCAATTTTTGCTTTTTCTTAGCAGTAATCTTTGCCTTTGGGATTAATACAGCAATTTAGAAGGAAAGTATATGCAGGGCTTGTGAATGAAGAAAACTGTAATATCTTTTATGAAAACAATTCTACTAATAATGCTATTAACACTAAACTTTAATCTACCATCCTTTCATACTAGAAAATACTTTTTTCCAATTATTTAATTGTAGATTTGATGGAGAAAGTCTGGCAGCATTTGGACTTTCATTTCCACATTTCTGGCACATTTACAGCATGATATTTTGTGGTCCTACAGACTGTCCTAAACAGAATGACTAGCATGTTTACTCATCCTTACTGCCTGCCAAAAGCATTTTAGTAGAGACGTCTGTACATAGTGCTGTCAGAGGAACTGACGGATATTTTGAAAATGGCAAAAGTTCTTTCACTGTGTTTCCCTAAAATAAATAAATAAATAAAATTTACATATTTCTTTTTATAATATCTACATGAAAAATATCAATGCAGCAGAAGTTGAGTGCCATTGATTTGATCTATTCAGCATTATTCAGCTTGTATCTATTCAGAAAGCTGCTAAAAAGGTAGTTTCCTAATCTACTGAATGACCAAGATAGCTGGGGTGTATTCTTCTGGGTTGCTGTCTCTTCTACATCAAAAGAAGAAGCTATTTCATTCTTCAGGCTATTCAGTCTAGCTGTACTTACCCCTGCTTTACCACTTGCCTCTCATTTGCTGTGGAATATCATCAGTACGCATCTCATCTGCTACTGAAATGTTGTTTCTTGCTGCAAATGGGCCCATGATGTCTCCTTCACCAACTTGTTATATTTTTCAAGTAAGCACCAGTAGACTTTCTCGCTTACTGCCTCTTTGGGGTTGGAAGGAGGTGAGGGAGAATGTCTTGCTGATAAGTAGGTTCTTGACAGTGTCATCCATGGAATGATGATGACAATTATGCCAGTGATGACAACACCACCATCTGAATTTGGAGATTCCTACAGGAATCTAAGCACACTAATATATCAACTGTGAATACAACAAAACCCAACAAAGCCCACACCTACTGTGCTTGGGGACATTTACCATATATTCTGTTTTTGCATAAAACGTCTGCAAAGCTACCTCACCATCTTTCTGAAAAATTCTCCCTATCACTTACCTTTGCTGGCATTCCAGTTAAAGCCTTACGTGACTGATGTATTGTGATCACTGTCTGCCACAATGACCAATATTACCCAATCATATCATGGTACTCCTCCTTCTTGCTCTATCTACTTCATATCTCTTTTTTACAGTAACATGTTTCCTGGAACAGAGTCTTATAGTCTTGATGACAACTAAGCCATTGGCATTCTGTTGCATGACTTGCTTTACAAGCTGATTATAGCTGTAGACACTATGTGTTAGGATACTATTCTTCACTGATTTGTAACCATACTAGTGCTAGTTGGCTTGTGCAATGTTCCAGACATATTTCTCCTCTTCTCGGAGTGGGACACTCTGCCTTGCCTATCATCCTTTCTTAGAAGGTAAATGTTGTGGTTGAAAAATCGACTTCTAGACTTTCACATAAATTTACAGTGAGTTTTTGTTATAATTATCTCAAATCATGTTCCTTCATTTTCTACTTCCATTACTCCCTGCTGCAGTTATTAAATCAGAACTAATTCGTATCCGTGGAAGAAACTATTAACCAAAATATGCAAGAAAATATATGCTGCTGCAATTGCAAGTTAAAAAGCATGTTTCCAAAGATTAGTAGAATTATCTTCTCAATGGTCCAGTCCCATCCTAAAGACATTCAGATAGCTACCTAAATACTTCATAGACAGATACAGCCATTTTCATGAGCAGAAGTATTGGTGAGTGTCCTGCTACAGCTTTGGATAACTGTACATTCATCTTCAAGTATTAGATATTCTTATACCTAGTTGTGTCTTCTGCTTTGGAACACAAACGATCATACATTTTCTCAACAATTTTTAGTACTGCTTTTGAATGCACAGAAATGTCATAAAAATAGAAAAAAATGTAAATTTGAAAATAAACTGCATCATCGAGATGGCATTACTCTGAAAACATTACAGATACAGGTAAAAGACAACTGAAAAGAAGTTAGAACAATCTTCATGATCTTATCTAAGCCAGCCAGAACTATGGCTCCACGATGCGGGGGAACCTTATTTAGAGCACAGCAACAGATTTTACGGAAACTGCAGGCACCAAGTGAGAGTGGAGGAGGAGTGCAAGACAGTGGTCATCAGCACAGCTGAGAGGTAGTTCTGCAGCCTCTGCATGAGGCTTCTAGAGATTACTATAAATTCAGCAATAAAGTGAAGTTTCATAACTATATGACACAACAATTCTGGAATCATAGATTTCTATACTCACTTCTGCAGTTCAAAACTTTTGCTAAATGCAAGGTGGTGGTCACAAAGAACCTTTTTGAGTTCCTGCTGTGACTTCCCCTGAGCTGGAGATGCTGGGGGGGGTCCTATGAAGGTCCTCAGTGAAATGGATATTCAGTGGATGCAAGACTTAACATGAGTGTCTATTTCATCAGGCAGCTACGAGACTTAGGTATATTCTGTTTTCAGGGCATGTTTTCTTTGCAAAATAAATTCAGCTTAAACCCACATTTCAGATGATCAAATTTCCTGTTATTGGGAAAGTTTAATTTCCAACAGAGGTTATCTAAAGGATTCAGAAGAATCTAGAGGATTTGCTTCTTGCAATTCACTGACTCCCATTTGCACAGCTTTAACTCTCAAGCTCTTGGCTTTCTTGTTTCTGTTGTCCTAAGGATATACACTATAGGGAAGATTTTTCCTTCTAAAATTTCATCTGCTTTTGAAGATTTTGTCTGTGAGGCAATTCTCACACCTGACTCAAGTTGGCTTTTGCTATACCATTTCAATAATTAATTGCTCGACTATTTATGTCAAAGAGAAGCATGTGTAGTTGACATTCCCAAATTCTGCAAGGTTTTCAGCACCAAGTTGATTTAGAAAAACCAGCAATTAAGCCCTTGCATATCCTGTGTCCTGGCCTGGTTTTGGAAAATAACTGAAAATCAGGAGGAAGCAGAAGACATTGAGGTGTGTCATCCACATATCAACGGTATTCCAAATATTCTAAACACAGTTTGCTAAACAAACTGACAAATTCAGTTTCTATAGTAATCTGGGCAGAACTCATGGATCAACCACAACGAGAATGAAAAACATCTTTCCATACCTGTTGTTATTTGAGTATTAATTTCATCACTTTTTATATTTTCCTAAAATCAAAGAATATAATGTAACAATTAGAAAATGGAACTTGGGTGTAACTACAGAACAGTTGTCTAGTTGGAATTATTTTAAGAACTTAATATTTTTAATTGAAGGATTCAAATATTCCCCCAAATTTGTCCAATCTGGGACAGCACTGTATGAAAACAAGAAACATTTCATCTGAAGAGAATCAAAATCACAGATGAACACATCACAAACGAAATTAACTGGAATTTAGGAGCATGCTAAAGGTAAATTTGGCTGAATGACATTAATTTCTTAGGACAAGCAAAGCCCTAAGTCACTTACAGTCATGTGAATGTAACCTACATCTCTTACTTAGGGAGTTTAATTCCAAAAATGCATATCGTCTTGTTATTGCCTTGAGCAAAGATGAACAAAGTGCATAAACAGCAGTAACATTTACTCACATCTGCATCTTCAGTATGAGAATTGTCACAGTCCTTCATCTGTGTCTTACTATATAGGCTTCTGAGGATCCCCAAGGCTGACAGTAATCAGCATACTGGCCTCAAAAATTGCCAAATAAGGCAGGAAAAGCTATGCAGCCATGAGTGTTTGAGGTATCTTTGAAGAGGACAAGCCACTTCAATCTCATCCTACCTATTGATCTGTAAGGCTTGATGTGTTGGGCTTTTGGGGATCTTTTTAAGGGCTGCAAATCACTGTCCATTTTGTTATTCTAATGACTACATAGCACAAGATATTGTATACTTTAGTTTGTGGATGACATTTAGACCTGTGTTTCTTGGCAATCTATGAAAGTGCCATGCTCTGCTGAAACAACATGCTGGAAAGAATCTGAGAAGTAGCAGGATTTTCTGCTTCTTTCCTACATGCTGTTTGTTGCTTTGCAAGTACAGCATTTTCTTCTGGCATAAAAGGACAAAAAGTGTCACAAAAATCATAATGCTGTCCTTAGCAAAAATCCACAGGTTGAGACATTGGCATTTTGATGGTAAATTAAAAACCAAAAATCATAGTAATTTCAAAGAATGTATCCAAGCGAGTGTGGCTGCAGTGTAGATGTGGTTCCACTTTTATTCAAGTACTTCATGACTTGTCTATTTTACCTTCCCCTTTGAGTTCTTCTATATCCCCGTTTGAATGTCAGATTTGCTAGTGATAAGCACCTGACAAATACTTTGATAGTCAGCTATTCCATGTATCACAGAGCCAGCTGCCTGACAGAATGTGTTCTTGATTCCTCGCCTCATTCAGCTTAGGTGAACAAAGTTCATTTCTCTGTAATTCTTGGTATTTAGTTTTGTGCATGGCTTTATGGAGGGATTTTAGTAAGCTGCAGGATTCTAAAACCAAAACCAGAATGAAAACAGAAATTTGTTTTGAATGCTACTGAATCCATGAAGCCATTATACCTCCCTTATGTAGGTTCAAAGAACTGCTCATGTGCTCTGGAGTGGCACTGATATCACTCCCCACAGTAGCAGTAGTAGGGGGCAGGGAACTAATTTTGCTGTGTGAAAGAAATTATTTGACATCAGTGACATTCTTGAAGATACTGTTTGCCATCTGGAAATCAACATCATTTAGTGTAATAAAGCATTAAAAAATAGGGCCTGAACTGATTAGACTGATTAGACTAAAGGTTTGTGGTGTCTGATAAATTTTTCCAAGTAACTAAGTGATATTTGCATATTACACAGCCAGCCTCTCCTGTCAGGACTTTTGAGCAAAATAAATCCATAGTAAATAAAAATTAACACTAGTGTTCATCCTCAAGAATATATGATCACAGTCAAATTCATCCAGGTACCTTCCCAGTACATACAAAATATTCTAAGCCCATATGATTCAAAGTTATTGTAGGATTCTCCTGCTTAAGCATAATCAGAACTTTTCTCGATTTATAAAAAATTCTGTCTGTGAATTGTAATCAACACATTTTTAATTTATTTAGGATTTCTTAAACTAATCATTAAGCTATAAAGTCAAAAAGCAAATTTATGTTGAATCAAGTGGCACTGGTACATTTAGGAGTGTAGGAAATGCATAAGCTACTTGAAGGTTTTAAAGCAACATAAGATCATAAACCATCCTTATGATTCAGGAGACCAAAAAAGCTGCCTAATTGCTGAAGACCTTAAAGATGCACAAGTATGTAAACCATACTGAGTCCCTTTGGCTACCATTGCCTTTGCATATCCATTGGAAGACAAGCACTTCTGAAGTTATGTACAGGTGCAATGGCTTTTTCTCAAAATATGCTTTTTTAGCTAAAATTCTGCTCTCCATCCAACACTACCAACCTATGCCAGCTTCTAATTCGTTTTAGGATGAAACTTGAGACTTCACACTTCAATGAGCTTGCCTGATTGTTTGCTGGGAGAATTGAATAGCATGAGGATTGTATCAGGTTTAAAATAAAGAAAAAGCCTGTTGCCACACAGAGTTATCTCACAGAGATAAGAATCAAAGAAGGTACAGCACACAGGAAAACAGACACCTGACAAAGGCTGACTTCTGTTGAATTCTTCCACAGAATTGAGACTTAGGAGGTCATTTAGAGGACAAAAGGATAGCTTAGTCGAGTGGTAAAAAAAGAACATATAATATGGATAGATAAGCATTACAAAAGTTTAAGGATGGGAAAGCTAATTGACTGTTTGAACTTGAATTGATTAAATACAAAGAAAATCTCAATTTAAATTAGCTATCTTGGACAAACATTACATCAGTCTACTACAACAAAATTCCAAATGACTGCACCTGTCCTTGGGGAAGATAAAATGCACACAGTTACCTCGAAGAGAAAGCACCATGTACAGGGAATAACATGGTATTGACTCCAGATGCTTGAAGAACTGAAGCCTGGTTGTCTTCATAAATTTCACACCTGAAAATAAAGATGTTTGTACAGGATGTGTCAGATAGGTTGTGTATTGTTCCCAGAAAAAGTTACAGACTTTATTTGTGATCTAAAAAATTAAATATTTAATTTCCCAGAATGTATGTCACCTAAAAGTTTTAGACACAGTTTTTCAGAATCAGTTAATCAGTTATGTTGAATTAATGTCAATGAAGGGCAGGTACAGAATGCCATAAAACCCAGGAACATGGTGGAATGATGAACATTTCATTCAGCAAAGTATTTTCTTGTGCATTAGTATTTAAGAGAAAAGTAAAGTAATTTATGTTGAAGTTAACTAGCTAAGTTAATGTTAGAAAAGTACCCTGTTCCTGGCATTCAAACCAGTCATGTGAACCCTGGGTAAAATACTCTACTTACAAAGCATTGACTTTCCTGTCTTCCATGAATCCACATGAATTGGCTCCCTTGTATATGGGAAGGCAAGAGCAAAGGAAGAGCCAGAGCCAGAACTGCAGTTAAGCTGTTGTTATTCCCCATGGTACAGAAAAACTTAGCTCACTTTCTCACAGGCATGCCAATTTTACACATGAAGGATGCTGTGCAACTGTTGAGTAGGGTAGTTAAATATTGGCTTTGTATAGTCTTAAAAGGCATGTATTCCATCACCAATGCAGAAATATTGCCATGCTACTCCACTCAGTCTAACCAGACATGTTGTCATTGTTCACTTTCCTGATGTAGCAGCTTAATCTGCATGAGAATATCTGGAACCGTCATCCTATGCTCAATTTTTGTCACTTTCTGTGAAAGATTTTTACTTCCAAACCTCCAAAATCACTTCAGATTTCTCCTTGTTGAATGTGATTTCTAGTCTTCTAAGTATAGACAATGATATTAATACTGATAATGTAGAACGTCTGCCATGATCATCTGAAGTCGCATTATTTCCAGAAGTCCTCCCAAACATGAAACTTCCAAAATAAGGATGTTTCTACAACTCAGCAGCAGCTTCTAGTCAATGACAGAGTGACTTACATAGTGAGAGTTTCCTTCAGCAGCGGTGCCGAGTTATGTTAAAACACTATTCTTAATTACAAAATCCCTTCCCCAAGTGACTGTCTCTCTTGATCACTTCTCCTACCTGCAATGTCAGGACTAGCTAGCAAAGTAATTTGACGTGGGAGGGAGGGTTCCCACATAAATTGCTACTTTAACTCCTGCTTGTCCATCACCCTTTGCAGTTGAGTGTCTTAAAATTTCCAGTATGCAGTTTGAAAAGTTTGTATGAAATACTGGAGATCAAAATGCCCCCATGAAAGCAATACTTACAGGCATCTCACAGAGACAGATTCAAACCCCCACAAAATTATTGCACCATTTGCACTTCCTGTAGCTATCAAACTGCATCCTTCTATTTTTAAAACATCAAAACACTTCATATCCCCAGAAAGTACAAAATTCTAGAAAGAATATTAGAAAAAAAAATGAGTAGGAGCAATGTGGACACTAGAGAGCAAAATGTTTTAACTGTTATTTTAACAAGATGTCTAAATTGACAGTATCTACAACAATTGCATATTGAATGCTATTCTAATACCACTGTATTTGAGCTACACAGAAGCACCAGAAGGAAGCAGGGAGTGATGGTACTGGGATACTCCCTGCTGCAGAGGACAGGGGGCTCCATCTGCCAACCTGACCTGCTATCTATGGCACAGTTGCAATTAGAGCATGTAAAAGCAGCTGTAAGAACTGAAGATTAATCAGAAGTAGGTGTCTATGGAGGTACTCTAATCAGGTTAAAGGAATAAGTCACTGAGCAGATGTATAATGACCTTTCCATAAATATCATCCAGAGCTGTTATAGAGTTAATGACAATATGCAAAACAAAACCTAGGTCTCGTGGACTACTCAAGTGAAATTGGTCAACAATTGAAACATAAATTTGACATCTTATTTTACCAAAGCAATAAGAAGAGAAATGGAATCACTTTAACACCCAGCTTGATGTGCCACTACTACTGAGGGTCAGTCTAGCTATAGTAATGAAGGGCATTTCATTTCTAGAGGACTTTATACAAAACTCCAACTTACTATTTTGTACAGGAACGTGAAGTGTACGTTCAGAGAAGCTTCTTAATCACAGTGACAAACATGCAATGGATTATTAGGCAGATATAGCCCTTAGAAACAATCAGTTTCTTACACGATTTATTTTAGACCTTCAGTGTACTGAAAAGTTTGGAATACATATTTGGTTCTTCTGTTGCTAAAATATGAAATCCTTGAGGGCACAGTAAGCATTTTAGTTTCTAATCTTCTGTAAACGATGTGGAACTTTGAAGTGTTTCTCACCTCTATATCATTCCTCAGAGAACTGGTGTCAGACAGCAGTTGAATATCTGGAAAAAAATCATGTGTTTGTAAGGTGTCAGGCTTCAGTGACAGAGACGAAACTGGGTTCCTTTGTGGAAACGACACTGCCTCAGGAAGCACCCATGTGACATATAGATGTGTTTGAACTGAGTTACCCTATTGAAATAACTGACTTAATGAAAGAGGAAGGAAAGTATTTACCTATTCATAAGAAAATTATCAGCAAGTGTATGTCAAAAGCTTGTTTTCTGTGCCAAACTACAAAAACTATTACAATATCAACTAGCAGACACCTACACTGCAAACTGAAGTGCCAGCCAGAGATAGTCCAACTCACTTTAAATTACTTGCTGTTGTATTAGAAGCTGTCTAGCTGTGGATTTCAGAGCTTTTGATTTTATTCAGTTTACCTACCCCCTTAAAGTAAGTTGTCCCTTCAGTTACAGCTGCTTATTTCATTAACATTGCTAGTCTCCAGTTGATACATACCATACCAGCAAAACTGGTGGTCGTTCCAATTGTGTGAGAAGAAGCAGCCATCGTTCAATCCAGCGAGAAACAGTCTAGCAAGCTACCAGTGCCCAAGCAGCCAAAAATCACCCTTCTGTGAATCACCTATCACGTAAAACCCAACCAAGACACCGCAGGTGCCCTTTTACCCAGACCAATAGCTGTGCATTCCTTTCTGTGCGTACTTCCTCCCACCTTGGAAGAAAGCCAAAATTCATTCTTCTGTCACTGAGACAGTCAAGGCAAAGAGTTCTGTCTGCTTATGTAATATGTCATTTTAAATAAATGTAATAAAAATGTGGTAATTATTTAATTGCTTTACCATTACATGCCCCAGTAGGAAGACAAAAAACATTTATTTCAATGGCTGCACAGATCACTTCAGTATTCAGCCCATCTTTAATCTGATATATTCATCTTCAATCTGATATATTTGATAACCTGTTTCTAGGTCCCAGACCTGAAAAAAATAAGGTGGTAATCATTTGTACTACACCTTCTAAAACTTAGCACATAATGTGTTCTAGTGTAATAGGAGAAAGATGACTTCTTCTAAGAGCAAATTTTCACATCCCATGAAATAGGTTCTCTATTAAAATAGCACACTACTCTGTTCTTCTACTGAAATACTAGCGTAATTTCCCTGAAAATATCCCTCTCCCTAGAGAAGCCATTCTGGCAAAGGGAGGGTCTTTTTAGTATGCTACGATAAAGACCCTTGTTAAGTCAGAGAGACTGTTGTTTATATATAATGAGTTTTCACAGTGCAAAAGCAAAGAAATCTAAGTAGAAAGAATCGTTTGAGCTATAATTTCTATGCTGAATATCAAAATGAGGCTTTTCCTAAAGACTTGGTCCAAAAATATAGGAACAAGTATATCTGATCATTATCTTATCATTATCTAATCCTTTTGGGAATTTAGGCAATGCCTTATAATGTACTTCCAATACCAAGTTTGGTCGCTATAATGGGATAGCTCGACTGGATTTATGAAGTAGCCACTCATGTCAGATGCACTGTCTGGATCTGATTTTCTGCAGCACCAAGTGCCTAAAACTATCTTGTAATCGTAATGGTATTGTAGCCATTGTGGTCTAAGGAAGGCAGGGTTTAGAGTGAGAAATAACATCTTTACTGAGTGTATAAAATGAACAAACCTTTACACAAAGAAGCCTTTCTCCACTGGAACTTCATGCATCACCAGCTGGCCCATTAACAGATGCTACCTCTCCCTACAAACCTTGCCATCTAACCCCATCAATAGCTGACAAAAACTGCAGGTCCTCAGTACCTCTGATGGTCATTGTCACACTGTTAATTACACCGGTATTTATTCATTATATTTATCTGTAGGTTTGCTGACACTTGGCATGGCAACTATTTTTTAGTGATTCAAATGCAAATGGTAAAATTGAGAGGCAAGTTTAATCTTTTCATAAATGTTTCAACACAAACAGAGCTGTGATAAAAAGTGATAAAAGTGATCTCCATCACCTTATTTTTCTTGTTAACTGGCTAGTATATTCAACACTTCTCCCTCACTGTATGACTTGACATCCTTAAGGCTCAGAACAACATGTTCTAGGAAATTATTTGAATGAGAAGAAGATGTACAGAACATCAGGAAATTGGTCTCAGAACTGCTAGCCAAATAGAAGCATATCAGACAGAAGAATAAGAAGCAAAACAGGAGGATAAAAAGTCAGGTTTTATAGTTTAGGCACACTATGTGCCAATGAAACTTTTCAATTTTTGTGAAGGAATCTTTTTATCTGAGAGCAGCATCTTTACACAGTCCTGATTTTTACAAAGTGATTTTTTTATGTTTTATAGCAATCCATAGAATGTCTAAATTACATATTCATATTCTATTAAGCTGACTGGGATTCAAGCACTTCCTAAATTTAAAGAGAAGCTTATCAGATACGCCCTATGAATTGAAGAAAAATGTGTAATTGTGCTTGTATGAATTGTTGATTGGATGCACAGTTTGACATCATGGCAGTTAAAATTTTCCTTTGTAGCTACTAAATAGCCAATGGACTTTCACTACTATTGCTGTACTTACAAGAATCCATTGGAGGAACAGGTGAAGTGTACCTATTCAGCCAAAGGAAATAAAATTGCAATTAAATCCAGTACCTCTGAAGCCTTGCTCAATCTGCCTGGTGCTTGCAGTGCAGTTATGTCAGTGGAGGTCAGGGAAGGAGTTACCTGAGAAAAGTAATGCTGCTGAACCCAAATAGTTTATTTATCATGGCTACCACTTCCCTGGAGAATCTGAGCACAAAAATAGACACAAAACCAACATGTTGAATAACAAACACAAGTCACTTATCTAATTGCCCAGTAACTTATTTGCAATAAAAAAAGCTGAGACTTTTCTTTTTCAGCCTAAATGGTAACAACTTACCTTCAGTATTGACTCAGAGCAGATAGCGAGAATCTGGTGAAAAGCCCTGTTGTAAATCAGAACTTTGATGCTTTTCTCATGTGTTTGTGGCACCTGTCTTGTATCTTGTATCATATGAGTTAGGGGATAAATATCAATGACAGCTGAACCTGCACAGGGTGAGAGGAGTGAGAATATATACATTTTGTGTATAGTACTAGTTACTTTCCCTGGATATAAAAAGATTTTACGTAAACAATAGGGTTCATCTGAGTTCTTCTGAAGAGGATAAGGAATATTGTGTGTTTCTTGAGAATATCTGTTCTCTAAACCAGAAAACATTCACACATGCTCTCCACAATGCACCAATATTTACCTTCCCACCTTTGATGGGATTGATACTCCAAATCGTTAGGAGCCATAATTCCCCTAGTCCCAGAGTGGGTTGGCCCATGCCATTGAAATGGAATGAACCCAAATATATAAAACTCTAATTGGCAGATATATCACTAAAATAAATTCTGGTATCGTCTTTCTTAGAGATAAAGCAATTCTATCTGCAGGCAATGATGATTTCTTCCAGTACCTTCCTTTATACAGGTCTGAATGGTGTTTTCCAGACATCTTCTAGTGCTCTCGGATCAGAAGACTGCAAAGACAGAGGCAGATGGGGACGACAAGACAAAAGAAAGGACAAGGTTTTTACAACGCAGACTCACAAGCCAGACTACACATGCAGGCTCCTATTGCAGTTCCAGTATTACTACGGTTCTACCAGCAGAGGAGCAGCAGCCAGCAGTGAGTATGCAGCAAAGGACGAAATTGCCTAATACTTGGCATAAGGCCAGGCACAGAGACCAGCAGCTTGGAAAACAGCACAGAAGGAAAGCTATGGCAATATTCAAATGAAGCGTGAAGGTGAGCCGTGATTTATAGATGTTAGTGAACTAATAACTGAAAACCTTCTCTGTAAAGCCAGGTACAAAGGAATGACAATTAATTTGCCCATATGTAGCCTCAGTTTTTTGCCCTCTTCAGGGGCAAGGAGACATTCACTTAGCCTTTTAATGGACTCAGTAACAGAGTCCAGGACTAGATTTTTACAGATATTTAGGCACTGGTCCAGTCATTGTTTATAAGGGCAAAGTTACCTCATTTTCTCAAGGATTTATCCATGTAAAATCCCTACATTACTAAGCCTTGAAAATCTCACTAACTTAAATTTGAACTGAAGATCATATCTGTATCCTTTTGAGATTAAAAATCTTTAAAAACTAGACTGATTAATATTCTGGGCATTTTAAAAATAAGACTTAGAAGCTGAAGTTTCTTAAGCTTTGCAGTGCTTACCAAACACCTAAATGCATATAACAATTTGTGGACTTTAGTCCCATGTATATATTTAGGCTTCTAAAACAAGTTTATTGGAACAGAGATTCAGCAGAAATTAAGGTCACTGAAAACAAAATGTTTCACATTCATCTTAGATTTGACAAGCTTTACAATCTTTGTGCCTTGTTCCTAATCCAAGGACAGAAAAAGCTGTCTCCAAAGACAATGACCTTATTTGCCTGGTATGTCTCAGCCCCAGAACAGGTTCAAAGCTGGATTTTTTCAGTGACTATGTCTCTGGGGCAGAGAAACCCTGCCTGTTTCCAGAGTCTCTGTCTTAGATACAGAAGGCTAACATCCTTAGTGATACCTGTGAAGCTTTGTCCCTTGCAGTTTCCAGGTTCCCTGCTACAGAGGCAGGAAACAGAGCCCAGAAACCTCAGGATGAGTTTTCACAGTATTTTATTCCTGATCAATTGGACAGTGCATCTGTTGACACCACAGACTGTGGGGCTCTCTGTAGCTATGAGTTAAATAAGAAGCTTGAATACACTTGTGAGGGCTCCACAGATACTGTACTTTGCTGCTTTAATCTCCAAATGGGAGAAGGGTGATAGAGGAATAGTTAGGGGAGGATCAGCAGCTTAGTAGCTTTGAAGAAGTGACAAGGCTACGGAACAGTATCTGTAGTTTAACCTTTCTAAGGAAGGCTCAACTTGCCTTCAGAGAAGCCTTTCTCACTTCCTGTGGTTCCTGTTGTTGATTCCCATGCTGCATATTTTCATGCATATTTCTGTATTGAAATCAGCATCATATATAACAAGATCCACTTTAAAATGGTCTTAATGTGCAAATACCCTTAACTCCCAGTATTCTGTACACGTCATATACCTTACTCCTGTGCTCAACTACAGTTGTATGTAATTGTAAAGGAAATCACATTCTAGGCGAAAGGGCATGCTCTCACACATCAACTGCAGTAATATACTTGTGATAAATGTGCCACAATCACTGTCAAATACCATGTCAAAGGGCTCCATCTCTCCAGGACTCTGTTGATTATCATGGGAGACCTGCAGCAGTGAAATGGTCTGTATATCCCACACACTAAAAATCTAGAGGGAGAGAGAGGGGAGAAAATGTAGTACTGTATCATGATTGGAAACAACTACTTTTTGTTTCTATGACAGTAATGTTACAGCTTCCAATGAAAATCACATTGTTAAGCATGGTACATCCCAAAATAAGCAAGACAAATATCAAAGGTATCTTCATCCCCATTTTACTAAGGATAAAAGGCACAGAAAGCCTGAGTTTTGTAATCTTGACCTGACAAGTCCATAGCGGAAACAGATCTCCTGAGAATTGGTTCTACTCCTTAATGACAAGATTACTCCATTGTGTCATACTTTTCAGTCATGTACAGATAAATGCCAATAGTTTAAAAGCTTGTATTTGAACTGGACTATCAAATGGTGTGCAACAGTACAAAGATAAATTTCAGATGGTTCCAGGTAAAGGAATTCCTGACATCTTTGACTGACAGCAGATGTTGGAGCAAATCAGGATCAGGACACACTGCAGAAGGATCACTTTTACGCATATATAGTTCTTGTGCTCTCCATAAGCAAATGCTATTGATCACAGTCAGGGTACTGTCCTGTAAGGAGCACTAGCTATATAGATACATTTATTCTTACTTTCAGTTTCAATGGGAAACACAGCACTTGCTTTAAACTCTAGAATTACTTTTCAATAAATACATGTTAGCAGCACTTATTCATCCTGCCTGATCAAAAGCTGTGTTGAACTTCCTGCTATCCCATCCAAACTGCTGTTAATCCTGCAAGAAATGATGATTTAATTTCTCAGATCCCATGGCTTTTAGTGTGGTGTATTTCCCTGCAAAATAACCTTACTATGCTCTCCAAAGTTACTCTGCCAGTTATTCTCATTCAGCTGCCAAAACTGTGGTGAGTTTTATATAGGCATTTGTGCAAGTTATTTGTATTCGTTCAGTTGTGCTATTAAAAGGTGGGGCTGCATTTTTAAGGGGGATTTTGACACAAAGACACATGTTGGTACAATGGTCCCATCAATACTGGGAGTGTTGTGGGCATTGACAAAAGTCGTTGAATCTTTGGATGAAATGTTCCACGTAATATAAGTCCATAAAACACAACAGGACAAATCTATGAAATATTCAAATTAATTCGATAACTGAGCTGCACCTCAGACAGAAATTTTATATGAATAATTCTGCTTCCTGTGCTACAGTCCCTGGAGGTCGTCTTCTCTCAGCTGTTCCTTATTCTTAACTTTGTCACTCAGCTGAGATCTCAGTGGCTTATCTTAGGTGATCTTAACGCAGATAGTCAAATCCTAACTTCATAGTCAGTGTTTAAACGGATCACCTTTGGCATCAGAGAGAAGTTCCTACATGAGTGTTTCAGAATTTTAAGTAGAAGAAAATGTCTCCTGAATATTTTGTTTGTTTTCAGGAAAACTCAAAAGGAAAAGGCTCTGAAGAACTTCTTACTGAGATTACATTTTCTCTGAGACAGTACTGAGTCAGAAGAACCATGTCCTTCATATTCCTCTGGTAGACTTCTGATTACATTTCAGGAGTTTACTCAGACATGCAATTTCTAAAGCATACAAAAAGAGAAATAGGCAGCGAGAAGGCTAGAATAAGGAAATGCAATTGAACAGAAAGAAATGATTAAACTTTTCATCCAGCTGACAGCAGACCAGCAAAAATAGAAAGAAGAATTGGTGATGAAAGTCGAGAATGTTAGGGCAGTGTTGCATGCAGATATCCAAGCTCAATTCTGGCACAGTCACAATCAGAGCATGTAAGAACAGCTGTTAAGAGCTGAAGATTAATCAGAAGTGGGTATCTATGAAGCTACTCTAGTCAGGTAAAAAGAATAAGACATTGAACAGAGATATAATGACCTTTCCATAAACATCACCCAGATCTGTTACAGAGTTAGTGGAATTATACAAAACAAAACTGAAGACAGACAATTCTAATAATCTCATGGACTATTCAAGTTAAATTGGTCAACAATTGAAACATAAATTTGACATTTTATCAAAGGAATAAGAAGAGAAGATGATTTTGGAACACAAATTAATATAAACAAGAGCCTCTTGCACTATTTCTTGCTGCTTGTTCAGCTATTAATGCCAGTACCACATTTGAAAATGCAGCCACTTAAAGCGACAGCAAAAACCTGGACACATCACAGCATTCATAAACCTCTTCCCTTCCTTCCGGCCTTCTTCCTTTCCCAGCCCGTGGGCAGGGATGGGGAGATTACATAAACCACTGTTCCACATGAGTAACTCCTACACAAGGCATGACCAGCATGGCCGCGAGATAGAATGTCACTGCTATTCATCTGCATCAGCACATGTGATTGTGCATGAATTCATGCACGAAGAGTTGCAACAAAAGGCATGCTTATTTAGAAATCAGGAGGTGACCAGGGAGAGTTGACTTAGGAACATTTTGCTAACGGTAACTTTACTGTTCTACTTATTGACGAACTTCCCACAGCAGCCTGACAAATGCCAGGAATCCCTGAAGCCATCTGAAAATATATTCTTTTTGGCAAAATGCTTCTAGACTATGTCTTCTGAAATCACAGATTTCAGATGCTTTTGGACACAACTTCTTTCCTTATTCCCACTTTTTCCACCTTACAGGAGAAGCTGAGCTATGCTTACAGCAACATTATATCTACAACACTGGCTTACATTATTGAAAACTTGTTGGTTCAGTTTGGGTGCTATCAGAATTGGCCTTGACCCACAGATATACCTTTTTTAAGAGTCAGCAGAGCAGGGATTCTCGCCTGCGTTCCCACATTGTGGCCAGTCTCCTTCACACAGTCAGTAACAGGCACAGAGGGGCATTAGAGGAATGCACGCTGCCTCTCTCCTATCTTGGCTGCAACAGCTTCAGCAAACTACTGTGATATACTTTCCAGGACCACAGTCTGGATCGATTCCTTCTGTTCTGGGGTGCTCTTCTTGTGCCTTTCATTTTTCAACCCAATGACAAGACCACATAGCTACAGATGGAATTTCCACAGACACTAAGC